ACTCTCTCGAATATTTTTTAATATTTTGTGCTGTTAAGAGGTTAGCCTCCATAATTGTCGATTATTGATTGAAGGAGTGCGATGACAATATTGTTTTAGCAGACTGCATGCATTAGTATGTATGGGTATCAACTGTGGCTGAGTTTTTATATCAGGCTGCATTTCTAAATGAGCTTATCAGAACCGGTAGCATGTCCTCCAATCTCACATTAAGATATATCGACGATAAATCTTTAAATCACAAGAAATGTATTGGCCACGTCGATTGTACATGTATATACCAACATAAGCTTGGAATTCATGACACTGCAGACTCGTTTACTTCAGCCGCATTCCTCGATCGTAAGTAACAAGATGACCACCGGGATGGTCTACTAATATACTGTGCGATAGGCGGGACTTTTTCTATTTTCCAATCGTAAACTTTCCCTTACTTAAAAGTAGCACACATTGGACCAACTACCCTTACCTACGGTGTTAACAAGTCCCGGAATATTTGGTTTCAGGAGTTTGCTTCGAATATCATGGCCTCCATAATAACAGTAAACTATTGACGGCGATACTGGTGGATGAACACTATGGACAAATTGTATGGTCGCCATTATGATGTCATTGGGAAATATTCTATTTCTGTGTTAATGAGGTTCGGTGTTTTTGAATATGCACATTACTTTGTAGTATGATTTTGTTGTCACAACACGATTATCGATGTGCGGAAGTGACATTGTTCTGGACTTGATCTGAATATGCAGGCGGTAGTCGTCGATGAAGCAGAAGACGCTTACCCTTCCGGAACACCTTTTGTTTCAAGGGTGCCAACGGCAATAATATCTTTGTTCATAATATGCCCAAGTTTGATCGATTCTGAGTTCAAATTGTGGTTTTGTTAACACTTCTGTATTCTTTTTTTTATATAAAAACGGGGAGACATTGTGGTCTTACCTTAGTTCCAACTATCCATCCGTTCCCGCACTAGCCAATAATTCACCTTTCAGATATTTCCACAAAAGTATTGCACAAATGGTTTTGGAGTATCTATTTGCAACTCCAAAACTCTTTAGAAATGAATTGTTGATTGAGAAACCTATCACAGCAAAACGGGGTTAAAATGGGAAATAGTGTCAACTATTCTTTAAGCCGTCTTTGCTATGTCTTAGATTGTTGGTGCCTCATATAGGTTGTGTTTCCTCAGACCATATGTTGTCATTTACGGTATCCCTATGCTTTGAGGATCATGTGATCTTGTTCTTATTCATGAATTCCAACATCATCTTAATCATAATGACATATCATAAATGCCGGCATATAGCTATGACCTCTAATTTGCTACAGTTTATACAATAAAGCCATAATGGCATAAAGGCCATGCAATCCATATAAAACAATGTTATACAGTTAGAGACGACAAAACATTCATATAAACAAGATTGATGCATAATACCCACGTCATTTGAGGCAACTGTTTGGAGTTTATATCTTCACTCGTAATGCTACTTATATTCAACTATGATAAAGTTAATAATGTATGTTTTAAGGTGGTCAAATTTTGTAAAACTTTGAAATGTCTTTCATTTCTTTTGTAGGTCTATATTGGGACAGATGTTCGTCTCTGTAATCGAGCAAAAACAGTCAAGAACTTTTAAAAAAAGAATATAACCCAACGACTAAATGTATGCATACTTTCTCTTGAACTATAATGGGATGAAAAGATAAGGACTGAACATTAAACTATGAATGTAAAACACGCAGAGGTTTATACAGTATGCCAAACAGATAACACTACATCATACAACTGTTTCGTCTCTGTTAAACTAATCGGTGATGCAAGGGGCCAAAAACAGATGAAAATTGCATTATGCCAGACTTGAACTACAAGATTACTTGATTGCCGTCCTCTCTGACTGGACAAATATGCTATCCAGCACCTAATGAGAAAACAAAGCTTGCAATATTCTCCTGTCAGGTAGCAACTGATGTATCCATTATCTTTACTCCTGGTAAAGGTATCTAGTCTATGACTACTAACAGGTAATTCCCCATCACACATTCTACTAGGTAGCTACTCAGCTCCTGCTGAAAGAAAACAAGCTCTTTCTTTCTCTCGGTCTAGTAACAATGTAGCTGCCCAGCATCCAGGAGAGGATACAGTTCATTTGGGACCATTGGTAACGAGCTTACCAATACTATAATACAAACTGCACGTTCGTATTATAGTATTGGTAAGCTGGTTACACAGAAGAACACAATCCTACCGTACTCTCGGGCGAGGTAGCGTAACATCGCCATACTTTGAGGAAGAGTTCGACCATCAAACTCCGGTATAGGGAGTTGGTTCTGAGACAAGTCTGTAAATACAAGCATTATCATCTTAGTAAGTACTAGTACACAGAAACAAGATATAATTTAGATGTGTATAACGGTTCATATCAGTTCATCCTCTAAGGAGGCGGAAGCGCTTGGTAACTCAGATTTTTTTTCTCACTTTTTGTTTTGTTTATTTTTACTTTTACATGGGCTTATGTTTGATTTTACTAGCTTCAGATCAAACCTATTGAATATTTTAAGATTTCACATGATAGTTTAATACTAGTTGAATATTGATTTGAACATCATCAGGCGTTAAATATAAATCTTTTCCAATTGTCATTTTTATCATTTATTTTGGATATAAATTGTGACCGATCATCGCGTGTTCAATATAAATTGTAACCATTCATAATGTTCCCTCGGATAATTTTAACCAATCATCACGTGTTTGTTTGAAATTGTAACCAATCATCGCGTGTTCAATTTAAAAAAAACCTCATGTGTTGGATATGTAGCATAAAAATAATTGAGTTTAAAATTACATGTTGTATACTTATCGTTTAGAATTTGATCCATGTATGTAAACCACGTATTTACACTATTATTAAGCAAAGTGTGATTATATTTTACAAATAATATAGGGCGCTATAGAAATGTTGTATATTATTTATTTTTTATTATTGTTTTGCAAAATCATTTGTACCATTTTGTGATATTCTTTATAAATAAAACAGCTCAATCAGTATAATTCTAAGTCCTCTATTGAAGCTATATTTTAGTTACAAGAACCATTTTACAAAAGATTAGGTTTAGGTAAGCTCAGCAAAGGTTTGATGAAGTACTAGTTTTGAAATGGTAACCACCTTGTATGCGCACATTTGTCCTATTTGTATATATGTATTTGATATTTAATCATTACCAGCATATCATGTTTCTAAAATAGGGGAAAGAACACGTTTTCGCCATACAAATCATCATATCAAAAATATAATTCTAAAAATTGTGTGCAGTAACTTCTTAAATACCCCAACTATCAAAAATACTGCAAAGACAAAAACACAATGTTTTGCATGTTTCAATAATGATCTGATAAACTGACGAACTCTGTGAGACAGGGAAGCGAGTCGTTACTAAGTGTAAAGAGGATGTCATGCAACAGTAAATTGTCAAGAAGGATGGATTTGTTTCTTTGTGGTGTTGAAGATCACAGGCAGTTTGAATATTCCGATACTTCAGAAAAAAATCGATGATGATGAGACAGCTTACAAATAGAAGGACTGCACAGGTAGACATAGAACAAAGCAGTAAAACATATGGGAAACGAAAATGATATAGGCACAGCAGGGACGTAGTTGAAGAAAAAGAGGTCTACTGCGAGTCAAGTTAAAAGAAGCAGGTCAGCATTAGACCAGAGTGACCCATACCATAGGTCTCTGGATAGATTTATGACTACGACTCCAACACAACCCAGTATCTCTTCCAAAAATCGGACCTAGGAAAAGAAATCGACCACACAAAATACTTAATTGCAAAACAACATAAAGACATATCGGGAGTTCATATGCTGCGTCCCTCAATACACAAATGCTTAAAGATTTAAGGAAAACTTCTGCGTGTTTTAAAAAAAATAGCTGTTTAATAAGAGACGCTCTTTATTAATGATATAAAGAATGATAAAGAGTGCGAAGGTTCTAAGTTCGCAAATATGTATCATTGCATTGAGAAATCTAACAATAGAGGGATGCCTGTATAAATAACAATCTAATATCAACGTTGTATAGGTTAAGCTAGATCACTAATTGTTCAAATTGCGATTCATAGTCCGAGCGTTGAATATTTGATAAAAAAAAGAAACAAATATATATATATATATATATTTATATAAATAAAATAAAACTTGATGAGTTTGGTTGAGTACGACCAAGGCTCAATTGTTCTGGGAGGTGAATGTAATGATCAAACAGATAGACACAAACAAAGCATGCCGGTCTATGAAACATCCATGGGTTTTAATAACTGGAGAGTCAAAAATAATCCCAAAAGGCAATTAACATGGAGACGAAATGGTAAATTTAAGGCTAGCCGAACAAACAAGATTTTTATATCTCGACATTTGGGCAATATTTGTTCATGTGATATTCGTCCGGCTTAAACACATCACTCGAATCACTTAGCGATTTCCATTATATTAGATGTTGGGCAAATTATGTCGGTAAGGGTATATAAAAATAAACAATAATTTACTTTAAAGTGAAAATCATTTCATGTTAAACAACCTTCATGTTATCTAAAAGAAGAGCATGCTGTTTGGAATTTAAATACTCAAACAAATAATGAGGACTTGTTAAAGGAACTAATGAGACAAAGGCTTATTTGATTTTTGTTATGTTGAATACTGTACATAGCAGATGATTAGGAAAAGAAAGTTAAACTCGCTTACTTACTAAACTCGCATTGACGATCCAAAGAATATGCTCGTTGCCAACTCCGTTCATTTTAACGTATACGCTGTCAAAATGAAAGTCAATTTAAACAGCATTGTTTAAATGCTTCATGAAGGAACATCAGTCGGAGTTGGTTGCTACGATGGTAACTATAGTAGCCGTGGTTGCTAGGTTAATATAGTACCAGTGAATTTACAATGATACATAAGTAAATTAAGAAAATATATAGTAAACAACACTATTTTTCCTTTTAATAGCTTTTATTAACCTTGCAGAGAAAGAAATTTGAATGTGTATCCATGGAATAAGAAGTTTGTCATCGTCCCTTTGCTGTTTATGCAACATGTTTCCAGATGTTGAACGAACCAAGCAATAGTTTTAATCGGTCTATGATCTCGCTGAACTGTAAAACACAGAAGAAGTCCGGTGTCACCCATTTACAATCATAAATCAGCAGAACCTTTTCCCACTGCGTATACGCTAATTTATGTATTGTGAAAGTTTACGAAGCTGAAGAAGGAAAGATGTGAATAAAATATGTTTTATAACGATTCTCATCTCGTGAATCTATGTTGTACAATATACCATTTACAAGTCACGTGTCCTAGTATCCTGTTCGTGTATAACCGTTGATTAGTTTTCCAAACCATTATAGACGTGGTCAGGGTAATCTAACGTTCCGTTTTTTAAGCCAGTCTGCAATTCGTTTTTATTGTTTCACTCTATCAAAATGTGACTTCAGTTTTGCATCTGCCAGAAAACTGTTGGCAAGGTCAGCACTTCCTTGCAAATCATCGAACAGAGTGTATAAGGCAAGGTCTGCCACTGTCATCTAAAACAGAATGATTACCACATCATCTTAAAAGGAATAGATAGGGCTACAGTGAAGTTATCATATCTTCTTCAATAGTGTAAATCAATTTTTCAAAGACATGATATTTTTCCCTTCTTGACATTTTTATTTTAGTTTCCCTTAGGTTTCATTAATATTTTGAATAGATTTATTTAACGAAATCCTCCTTAAAAACGTCAATATAAGTTTATAAAAACGATTCCTAGTTCTATTGTGTGTGTTGTAGTTTCGTATTCAATGAGTTTTAGAAGTTTATTATTGAATTCATTGTGAATGGATATCATGTTATCTTAAGGTATATTCAGTTTATATTGTACATGTACTAATCAGATGTTAACGAACATGTTTTCTTTGAAACAATGCAGCCAATTCATGCAACAATTGCTAACAACTTGTACAGTTTAGCTGTAATCTTGTCAGGGTCACAGTTAATTAAACTGCCGTTAATTACCACAAATGCAAGTTTCTATTAACGAGGAGACATTAATCTTACCTTAGTTCCAACTATCCATCCGTCACCGCCATTGTTTTGACGCAGGATTTTCCCAAAGATCGATATGAGTCGTGGCATACCGGTGTCAGATAATGTTTTTGCTAATTGTTTCTGTAAAAAAGACAATAATCCAATTAAATCGATGTTATACAGACAGTGACATCATAGAATGCATGGTCGATAGTGAAAAACATTCAATTTCAATATCTTTAAATGGTACATACTTTGATTGTTTCATCCGTTTCGTAAAACACTTTGACTTAAGCGAAAAAAGTATCGGCAAATGTGTTAAGGACTATATCTACTGTTGCCGACTCAAGATTGTTGTTCCCATAAAGACCTGGAAAAGAATATCAAATAGTTGGATTAAACAATGTGATATCACTGGCACTAACATGATCGAATCAAACGTTGAAATGTATTACAGAATATTAACGCATATGAAATGTACAGGATTTTACTTTATCGTAGTTGAATATTATTAGCAATATTGCAAAAATGCTTGCTTTTATCGAAAAGGGCAGTCAAACACTTTTAGAATTGGAATATAACCATACGACCAAATGGCGACAGATATGCACACGCATTTCTGACTTAGGACATGCAAGAAATGGTACGAACAGGGTATTTACGCATGGGAATTATATTAATGACAGAGAACTCAAAACGAGATACGTTTGGGAAAAGAAGTACACGAATTTGACATATAAAATGAAGAAATTCATTTTTTTCCAAAATTAGTGGTACCCTTGTGTCAATTAAACTGGTTATCGACTTTAAAGAGGAGTTGCACCACTATTGTTATAAGTATCAGTTTATGATAGAAAAAAAAGAACGGTTTATACTTATGAAAAGCGAAAATCTAGCACTAACAAAAGGTGACTTAGCTTCCAGTTCCCTCGGACCAGAAACCTGTCAAGCACTAAAAGAAGGAGTCGTACCTTACAGTTCTCTCAAACCGGAAAACTATTTAGCACTAACAAAGGTTAGTTAGCTTACAGTTCTCCCGGACCGGAAACCTATCCAGCACTAACAAAGGTTAGTTAGCTTACAGTTCTCCCGGGCCGGAAACCTATCCAGCACTAACAAAGGGAAGTTAGCTTACAGTTCTCCCGGACCGAAAACCTATCCAGCACTAGCAAAGGTTAATAAGCTTACAGTTATCTCGGACCGGAAACATATCCAGCACTAACAAAGGTTAATTAGCTTACAGTTATCTCGGACCGGAAACTTGTCAGGCACAAAAAGAAGATAACGTAGCTTACAGCTCTCTCGGACCGGAAACCTGTCAAGCACTAACAAAAGTTGACTTAGCTTACAGTTCTCTCGGACCGAAACACTGTCAAGCACTAAAATAAGGTGACTTAGCTTACAGGTATCTCGGACCGGAAACCTGTCAGGCACTAAAAGAAGGTAATTTAGCTTACAGTTCTCTTGGACCGGAAACCTGACCGACACTAAAAGAAGGTGACTTAGCTTACAGGTATCTCGGACCGGAAACCTGTCAAGTACTAAAAGAAGGTAATTAAGCTTACAGTTATCTCGGACCAGAAACTTGTCCAGCACTAAAATAAGGTTAATTAGCTTACAGTTCTCTCGGACCGGAAACCAATCCAGCAATAACAAAGGTTAATTAGCTTATAGTTATATCAAACCGGAAAATTGTCAGGCACTAAAAGAAGGTAATTTAGCTTACAGTTCTCTCGGACCGGAAACCTGACCAACACTAAAAGAAGGTGACTTAGCTTACAGGTATCTCGGACCGGAAACCTGTCAAGTACTAAAAGAAGGTAATTTAGCTTACAGTTCTTTTGGACCGGAAACTTGTCCAGCACTAACATAAGGTGACTTAGCTTACAGTTCTCTAGGACCGGAAACCTATCCAGCACGAACAGAAGGTGACTTACAAATGTAGCTTACAGGTCTCTCGGACCGGAAACCTGTCGAGCACTAAAATAAGGTGACTTAGCTAACAGTTCTCTAGGACCAGAAACCTATCTAGCACTAAAAAAAAGGCGACTTAGCTAACAGTTCGCTAGTAGCGGAAACCTATCCAGCACGAACAGAAGGTGACTTAGCTTACCGCTCTCTCAGACCGGAAACCTGTCAAGCACTAAAAGAAGGAAAATATCAATCCAATGTCTAATTGTGGAAGACAAAGACAACTCTCAGCCATACACAATACCCAGTCTAAGGGATAAAACTCACAGGAAGGATACCAATACAGCACAAAATAGAGGAAATATCAACTGCCGTACACTCTGTTCCAAAACATGTACCAGTCCGGCATCCAATAAGAAAAGTACGCTTCACTTGTCTCGGGTCAGGTACAACTGAGTTATCGGTTATAGAGGACAACACTTACTCCTGGGCAAGGTAGCTATTATTCGACCAACCACAAATGAACAGTACACAAAGCCTACATTTCACTGGGTAGCTAATCTGTGCCCACCAGAAAGGAAAAAGGAAAACGCGTACATTTTGCTCGGTCTATGTATAGTATTACTACCCAACAGCAACCAAAGGATACAATTCCTGCCATCCATTTGGGAAAAGTAGCTTCTCAGCACACAATGGAGATTATTACCATATCATAGGTAAAACAGATAGCCAGGATCTGCCAGAGGAAAAAAACACATCCTTACCATACTCTCTGGCGAGGTAGCGTACAATCGTCAAACTTTGTGGAAGAGTTTGGCCATCAAACTCCAATATCGGAACTTGGTTCTGGGGTAAGTCTGTCAATACAAACATTCTCATCATAGAATATACTGGTAGACAAAATATAAATATATATAAAGCGGTTCCGAATAGTTAATTCCCTGAAGGGGTGAGAGCGCTAGGTAGCTGCTCAGAATATCTTTGTTTTTTTCTTTCTTTATATTAACCATAACAAGGACTTTGTAGGAATTATGTTTTTGCCAACTGCATAGCAGTGATAAATTACAACATTAAATTCAATCAATATTCCTGTTCAATATAATTGTATTTCATATGCTATTTCACTAATGGATTAATAGTAATTCCAACAACCATGAGGAGTTGAATATGAATTATATTCATTGATAATTTATGTAGGATTTAAATTATTACAAATTACCACGTGATCGATGTAAGGTGAAACACATCATCATGCTTCTGATATAAGTTATAACCGATCATCACATGTTTGATATGGCATTACAAACTCCATGATTTATCGTGTGAGAAAACTTGTCGTATTAAAGGTATATTAGAGGTACAAGCTGTATGGTTAAGACAATTTTTGTAAAAAACATACCACTTTTTATCTTTAAGTAGTCCTTATATGATATCCGGTTATCTTCGAAGTCCTGTCCGGCAGCGCAAAGGGTCATTCTAATAAGTTCTGCTCTACCTCGAAAGTTAAAGTAGGTCAGTTTGTACCTAGACATTTCGCTGGTTATTTCGTTCTGTAGTTGTCCTTAGTTCACAGCTCGTGATATACTGTCTGTGAGAGTGCCTGTCAATGACAGTAGATATACGCAGACACACAGTTGTAACCGTTTAGATCTAGAGTCATCCCATTTGATTTACAACAAGCTCTATAATGTCAATATAATTCGCACAGCTGCTTTTTATTTGTATTCTTTATCTTTATTATCTTCCACTTTATGGCATTTTGCATATTATGAATAGAAATGCAAATACAAACAACACAAACAAACATCAGAACTATGTATAAGTATCATGTTGATATTCAAACACGTTGCAAGCCTGCCTTCCTCGGTTTAAAAATGTCTTTTTAATAAAGCTGCCCAAAATCACGAAACCTTTCGGTTCATTGTTAGTAAATGATTTGATTTAATATTTTTGATAAAAGTTCTAATGGCGGAGTTGTTAATATAATAAATGGGAAATATACCTTGTCTTCATTTAAGCTCTACTTATTTTTGTCTCTAGTCTTGGTTACCTTGTAAAATTTTGCTACCAAATTCTTATTTTCAAGGTTTAGTTTAGTCTTTATTTAATCAATTATATAATGCAGTAAAGCACATGCTATCTACAACAAAAGGATTGGAAAATAAGCACATAGTACTTATATAACTCCGTGTCCCTACATTTATTAATCGGCGAGAGGAAAGCTTAGACTGATTGTGCAAGGAATCTTCAAGGATTGATATCTGTTTCAAGTATACGGCGCCGTTCACGCTTCAGCGAGATAACTGTTCGATGCCAGACAGCGTTTGGTTTCTTCAACATCAAGAAATATGAAACCTGTTCGGGATCCAGTATATATGATCAAACAACAAAGGGATGCTGGCATACTTCTTATTCTGTCCATGCACATTCAAAGTTATTTGACGGTAAAGTTGAAAATTGCGGTTTCCTTTTGCGACGTCCAACCGCGTTACTTTCAGAGCAGTGTGTCAATGCGTGTACATAACGACCGTTATAAATGAATACACATTTTTGATATATTAGTACAATGTACTACGTATTTTCTAAATGTATCTATATATCGATGCAGATTCGTGGAAACTATATTATCCTAGCAACCACGGCTACCGTAGTAACCATCGTAGCAACTCGCTTATACTGTTTATTTTCATTTCTATAGCATTTTAACACTTTTTCTTTACCTAAATATAAGGGTTGACCATCATTTTGACGGCGTATACGGTAGTATGAACGCTATTAATGAAGGTCAATGTTTAGATATTAAGATTACATCATGGGGCTGTACAGGTTCAATACGTTTTCAAACACCTATACATTGTATATTACTAAAGTACTGAAGTGGAGTCACGTGTTTGACCATTGGCTACATTACTTGTTAATTAGTAACGATACTGACTCTTCTTATCTATTTTTTACTGTAATTCTATTACATGCATTTAAGGATGTACACCTGTGAGAAGTCAAAAAATTCCTGTATTAACCTTTTTTCTTATATGGATTTTTGGAAAAATGAGTAAATGGCATAGTAGAAAATGCAAAAGAAAAACATATGTCCGTGTGCTCGTTTATGTGCTATGATCGGTCAAAGATACCAATTTACCACAGAATGTGATTTTAGGTGTTTTTTTGGGTTTTGACCACTTGCAGAACAAATTCATACAATTTCTTCCAAGTGTGTTATCAGATATGCATAAATGTTTGTAGAATTGTTGAAAATATTATTTTCATTTTTAATTATGGAAGTAAAATTTCTTAATCTTATTGTTTTAACTCAAAAAGACGATTTTAGTTACCCCTACCCCCTATTTTTTAATGAAAAAATACTATTTTTTTACCATTTCTTTACAGATTAAACGCTTGATATAAAAAGTTCTGGTATTTTNTTATCATTTGTGTTATTTTTTACTTTTTTCGGGGTCAAAAATCGAAAGTGCTTCAGTTACACTAAATACGTAAAAAAAATATCAATAATGTATAATTTTCCAGTTTGTTGCATATTATTTTTATCATATTGAACATTATAAAGTTGTATATCAAAAATGAACCTGCTACAATTAAGAATGGCGACACAATGACAATTTAAGTGATCAATCTAGTGCCAAAAAAGGTGAAATTTTGGCCTTTTTTGAAGCACAAGAAATACACATCAATACACATTTTCAAAATGGCCGCCGACTTGGTAATTTTTTTAAATTCTTGTAAAAAATGTTCTACAAACAGGCATCTAGTTTTTTGACATATTTTTCAGATGCGTGTTTGCTAATAAACTTGATCATAAGTTGTTAAATATTACAAAAACCCATTACACCAGATCAAAACGAGACTTGATTTTCTATGAAATTAGTTCGTATCAAACCTTTTATTCGGGCTTATTTTTAATAGAATAAAAGCCATGCTTGAAAATGTATGAATGTTACATTATTTTGTTTTAATTTTATCAATGTATGTAATCCAAGAATATAAATCATATCATTATTATCACCATATCATATTGCCGAGTTATTATCGGTCTTAACAAAGAATTGAACAACGTTATTTCCCCTACAACAATCTTGATATATCAGAAATATTGCTTAAGCATTGTTTAATGTCTAATAAAACGGTTTTTCTCTTTTCAGCAAGTTCTACATTACTAGTCTGCTAGTTTAAATTATCACTATTGTAAAGAGCTTTGCTAAATATTTATATACAGTCATTTGATCTGTGTTTGATTTAAATCGTTACCTTGTTTTACCCCACGAAGTATTTGAATTATTCTGAGGGTATCATTTTGAACTTCAGCTCGGAAAAGAGTTTGGAATATATATAAACGGGAAAAAATGACTACCCGATATTTTTTATGCATGCATATGTTATAGGACGTATATAATCATATGCCTTGTTGCTGCTGAGTGTGTCATAGTAATTCATAATAAAACATCAAATATTTGGCCATTCATATAATATACACCCTACACTTAGTCAACATCGATTCATTGATACTTCCTTGTATTTTCATTCACTAATTAGTATATATACTATTATCAGTGTGAGCAAAGAGCTGTATATTTAAATCAAGTTTAATTATAAAACATGCAATGTATCAACAGTGTTTCATATAGATTTTAAATCAAACTTTGTAGTTAGTTTTAATGCAGTGTTTTGTCAATACATGTACACAATCAGCGTGACCACACATGTGTACACTATAGTATGACGCGCCATGCGTCCCTATAGCTGAACGTGTTCTGTTTACATTAGTTGGGAAATCTCCGGTGAGATTCTGGGACGACGGCGCGCTGATAGCCGGGGGCCTATACACACCAGTCAACAGTCTTGTTTTTCACCTCTGATATCTTCCTTACAAAACATAAAAATAACTAATTAACTAACAATAATTCATTGTGTTACATGTCAAGTGATTAATAAAATTTGAATATGAATAAACGATTCAAATCATGATTCCTTATTACTCTTAAAGCAAATTCTTAAGTCGTGAATTCTAAATTCAAAACACAGGAAAAGGCGACTGAAAATAAGCATTTTATTGAAGTTAAAGTTTTATAAAATATAATTCTAATGATTAGTATTAACTTAATTTTCACAGGTTTAGCCGGATCCAACATTTTGTTTTAAATACTCTCTAAGAACTAATTGTACACAAATTTTACTAACCATCATCATGAAAGAATTTGAATTTATATGATTACACATACGACGTATGATACGATAACGGCGGAAGCGTGTACGTTTTGTTATAAAAACATCGAACAAATGGCCGCCGCGGCACTTGAATAGTGTAGATAGAGTTCACATTTACCGTACCGTGTTTTGCTATATTTAATTTGAAGGATTATTTGAGGTAGAAACATAGATTTAAACATTGTATCCAACGCTCTTTCGACAACAACGTTACATGATTGATAACATATACATATATCATTAAGCAGACATGTGACTAAGTCAGTCAGTAGCTCATCACATATGCACAAAATAGTCCAGAATGTTCTATCACATATGCACAGAATAGTCCAGAATGTTCTATCGGGACAGGCCCAGGTGAAATTCTGTAACGACATCAGCTATTTCAGCAATGTTCTACATTGATCTGGAAACATTAGTTTGATGGAATAGGTAGTTTATGGTTCTCGTAGCAATAAATTATAAGCAAATAGCACATATGTACTTTTAAATGTGTTATTCGTGTAGTATGCATCAATTTAATATGCCGTTTGAGGAAATGTATAGATTGTAAAACAAGTTTGACAATGATATAAATTTAGATATTCAACTTTTCAACGAATGTTAGAATGATATGGCTTTATTTTAAATAACATATATGCTGTCTATTGAGTCTTAAAAATAGTAATGGCTCTGAACTTATGTTCCCTTAACAAAACACAGTTGAAATTTACAGGTGACATTCGACGAAGATAACCAATCGACAAATTTGTCAAGGTGCAATAACCTGTGAAACACGTGTCAGCGTCTCAAAGTCCCAAGTCAGGCCAAGTGATTAGCAGAAAATGTAAAGGAGTCAGGGTCGTCTGTGACAGTTGTTAAGCATAACGTACATAGATGGTGTTGATACTTTGACTCAAATTATCAACAACGTGGTCTGATCTGAGTTGATAGGACGGGACTGTTTTCAAATAATTAAGTATTGATAGTATTTTGGCAACATATGAACTAAGGTCCAAACTGTATTAAAATAAGCAATTAGAGGAATGTAATTACGCGTTTTCAGATATATTTCATTTTGTCGCGTAGGATTGATTAAACATGCTAGAAGTAAAACTATCTAGATCAAGTATTGTCAGCTTGATGTGTCGCTTCGCGTACCGGGGTAGTTTTGTTTTGTTTTCAAAAATGTAATAAACAGAATATCCAACATCACTCGTGAAAGATACCAAAATGTAAGCCACACTCGTGAAATATATATTTGGTAATACAGAAGACACATTTAGATATCACGTATAGATAAATCACTGACGCAAAGTAGTGTTTCTTGCGTTAATCTTGTAGTGATCGAAAGTGAGTTATTAATAGCTATTTCCAACTGTTTGTAATGACAATTAACCACGTGTCAATATACCTCCGAAACAAGGCTGTGTCATACAGATATATATTACTTGATAAATCAAATATTAAATAACAGTACCAAACCAGCCTCCATCCTGGCGTGGCTCCATTACACATCAGAAATGCACTAAAACGATAAGTGGTGTGTATGAATATCACACAATTTCAAATCTAATGAAAACTGCTCCATCAAAAGACAAACGACCAGATATTAATTATTTGATGATGGAGGAAACCTTGTAGGAGTAGTTTAGTATAGAAAACACGCTTGAAGCTTTGAAATGCTGGTTTGAACCGCTTTTAAAACAACAATTTTCAAAACGGAATAAAAGCATGAAGATTGCTGTTGAAACGTGGGCCCGTATTCATGAAACCAAACTAATATTCAGTGCAATTCAAGCACAATTTCTTGTTTCGATGATAGATTAATAAAAAAAAACACATTTTGTCAATTACATGGAAGCCTACAGTTTTCAATGTCTGGACTTTAATTTTTGACCTTGCCGCGATTTAAGCAAGTTATAAGAACGGAATCATGATTGAGCATAAGAACGGTTTCATGAATACGGGCCCCGAATAAAATCCCGCTTTTTAACAAATCCGTGTCAATGGATATAAAATTAACGATGATATAATAGACAGACTGGATCCTATGAAGTCCGTTATCATTTTAGGAGTCAAACTTAAACAGGCAACATATTTAACTATTGAATCTACATAATACACTTAACTACTGTTCATATGAATGAAACAAAATCATATATCTCGTTTATTTGTTTCAGCTATATATTTATATGGAACATATCGTATTTACCCTCGTGTCAATGTCCGACAAAGTTGTCGGAGGTAATGACCGACAATCGAACTCGCGCTCTGATTGGCTGAATTTGTATAGCAACCGCGTTGCTAACAACGATGTGGAAGGGTGAATTAAAATAGAAGCACGGATTAAAACCAAAATTTGGAAAGATAATGTTTTCATGAAAAGCGTTTTAGCGATATATTTACGGTATTGTTTGAAATCATCTGAAACAAATCCTTTTTTTATCATTTATTGAGAGAAGATGCTGGAGAACACTTACAAATAAGACGTCAGGAAATAACAACTATGTTAACGAAATATTGCCTCACGCTGCAGCACACGTGTCTGAAACACTTGTTATATACTCGTATGATCAGCGTGATCGTCCCCCATCCCCACCCCCAACCCGATATAAACGCCATAGGTGTAGCGATCGAGGTACTCCAATCTTTTGAAAGTAGATGTTATTGTTTCTCGAATTTCGAAGACAATGTTACGTTATCAATACAATTTAATATCAAACTAACGGAAACTTCATTTTTATCTCATTTTTTTATCTCTCCCCGAGGAACCCTTTTCCTTTTGGCAAATCCGGTCAAGGAAACAGCATATCGGCTAATATTGTTGCACATTATCTTGAAATATAACCCACCAACCCCTTTTCAAACTATCTATTCACCTTTCTTTTTATAATTAACTTTAAAAATCTACAAATAGCTTTGGACACATAGTCTATGAGCATTATATGAAATTCAATTCCTCTATCACGCTGTGTCAAAGATATACATCCAGGGCCTTGTAAAACTGAAACGGGCGTACCTGATAGAAAAACCCGTCCTTCTTCCTACATCCGAGTGTTTCAATCATGTGAATGCAGAAAAGACGTCATGAATTTGAGAGCAGATGTTTCCAGAATCTTTTTAAATACATCAATATGTTTTCTGTCACGGCTACGCTAACTCCATTTAAGTACTTACAGCTAAGCTATAAGTACACAGCGTCATCGATAAAACCTCTTCAGATATACACTTTCACTCATCACATGGTGTCATGTATTTGAATATTAGAATAAAATAAATGAAATTTATTTGTAATACGGCGTGTAAAGTAATAAACAAAATAGTACGGTTACAGGACCCGGATGTGGTATAAATCTCACTACTGAACGATTTATAGTGTTTGCATCCTGATATGACGTCATAGCTATGGAAAATGTTTACCAGATAACCCTTTGGCATGGGTACTGTAGGACAGTCCGCCTATACACTGTCACTCCCGCGTTAACATATTCACGAGTGTCTTTCGCTGAAAATATACGTAGCTTATTAATATCAATAAATATGTGCGTATGTATGTAACAGTGTGTGGCGTGTTTTGTTATTGACTGTACAGGAACCAACATTTATGTATGCGAAATTAATGCATTTTGTATGAAATAGTGACGTGTTCACAACTAAAATTAGATTTCTCAATGTAACATACATTTAAATGCATAAAAATAACTCATTTATTTGTATGTTTTTTCCCATTTTCAGATTTACTCAAATGGTTTTGAAAAAAATATGCTTTGTTACCTGGTAAATTGTAATACAATTAGCTGTGTATCAATATTTTACAAAATTCGAAAAATTCAAACAAGATAGTTCGTTCACAAAATTGATTCATAATAAGATGGTGTTTACTTTTGGACACGCCGTTCGTTTTCTGCGTAATCAGTCGTGCACTGATTGTAGATCCGGCCTGTGTGTAAATACATCGCTGAGTAGCCAGTGCGCGCATGGGACGAAACATTTGCACAATCCCTCAGCCAATAGACGGGATTTCCAAGAATCACACGTGTCCTTTAATCTTGTATCCGTTTTTGCTTGTCACTTCCGGAATCTGAGGTCATAGGTCGTTAACATGTATAAAAGCAGCAACGTGATCGTCGTCCATATCATTCAGTGTTTAGTGATTTCACAAGCTACACAATGCCTACCTACACCTTGCATTACTTTCCCCTCCGAGCCCGAGGCGAGCTCATTAGGCTGCTGTTCGCAGCAGCAGGGAAAACCTACACGGACAAGATCATCACATTCGCTGACTGGCCATCCAAAAAACCAGGTATGAACTAGGGGAAATATGAGACGAAATGATCTTATATTTTATACAATATCTTTTCGGTGATTTGATTGTAACAATCATGCGATGTGTGCCATTGATGTCCGTACAGATGGTTACAATGTCATTTTCAAAATAATTACAAATTTATGAAATGATTCGAATAGAAAAAGTATTGTTAATTAAGAAAGATCTGCTGTGACAAACACGTGATCTTTACCCAACAAGTAACACACTTGTGTTAAAACCACGAGAGTTTAAAAAATGGCCGTTTGTCATTATGTAAATGTCTCTTGTGGTATGAAAGTTTAAGGGCCCGTGGTATGTCCGTGTTATACTTTCTGCTGTAACTCACTGTCGGACAGCTTATACACACAGCACATGGGCTGTTCATCAATCATGTTAAGTGTTTTTAAACGTTATAAATGTTACGCTTTCATGCTAGGAGTCACTACACATAGTAACTCTGTTTGTAAAATGTTTTCAAAATGATTTGAAGTATTTTGTCGGTGTATTGGCAATCAATATCAAAGAAAAATTCAAAAAACAAAATGTAATCTGTCACTAGAACTTCTTGTGCCCAATGATTTGTGACCGCAGCGCGAAGTTGCCGCCAGCCGGTATTGATAGAAGCTGATGTCAGGATCAAGCTGTACAGTTACGTAATATACCTGTTTTAGACCATGATAAGCGAGAACTTTCAATGAATAAATGATGTATCTAAATACAATGTGTGCACTTTGTCAACAGAAATGCCAACTGGACAGCTGCCAGTGCTGGAGGTCGATGGGGTAAAGATTTCGCAGAGTCTCGCGATATCGAGATACTTATCCCGAGAGTTTGGTAAGGATGGTGTATTGATAATATTATAATCGATCAGTCACATCTCGAAAACATTTGTCACGCCAAATAATAATAAAAAAAATATACACTATAAGCAAGTATTCTAGATAATCCCTTCATCCTGCTTTCATCTTACTGTAACTTCTTGTATTGTACTTCATTTTACATTGGACGTGGAAATATATAACAGGATCCATGACTTGCTTTGTAACATTAATCTGTAACGTCACTTCTCCACGCTGCAGGTATGGCGGGAGACAGTAGCCTAGACCAGGCAAAGACAGACCAAGTTGTCGATACCATAGGAGACTTGTTGACCGAGTTCTTCAAGTTCGCCTTTGAGAAGGACCCTGAAAAGAAGGTTAGTTTGATATTGTTATAACCATGAGTCTACCTGTATCGTGATTTCATTGGAATTGTAATGGTTCGCCCTTAACTTGAAAAAAGTATGACTTCATCATTAGAAAAAGGATTTTCTTTTTATTAAACATATGTAACCGACCAGTCTTTCCAAATTGTAATGTAACCCTTTCCTGAAAACAACGTCGGGTTACACATTGATGGATTTGTATATGAGAATTCAAGTGAATATTTACAATATCATTATTTTCTGTATCGGTTTTTTTGCTTTGCTTTGCAGGAAGAGCTTAAGAAGAAAACTTTCGATACAGTTCTGACAACATTTGCTACAAACGTGACCAAATTTCTAGATATGAACAAAGACAAGAGCGGTTATTTCGTCGGAAAAAAGGTAAATGATGAAATATTTCAAAACGCTTTTGATATATGACATCTATACAAAAATGTCATTACACATAATGTTTATTGATGATGTGATGTCAGTTATCGCGTGAAACTAACCACATTACTTAACAATTACTCATAACGCCTGCAACTATTCACAAAGCAAGGTGTGCCTGGTAACGATCCCACACAAAACAAACTTACCTTATCAGGACATTGCTACTGCTATTCAAATGTTGTTTATTTATAGCATGTGAGCGTGCAACGTTATGTAATGGTGTTTTGAATGATCTGCACTACAGTGTTATCTTTGACTTTTGGTATTTACAGTTGACGGCTGCTGACCTGGCAGTGTACGAGGGCTTTGAAAATTTCCTGTTAGCGGACCCCAAGGCCCTGGACAAGTACCCCAAGCTTGTAGCCCACAGGAAACTAGTCTTATCAAACCCGAAAGTGAAAGCGTACGTGGACAAACGACCCAAGTCGGACGTCTAAACAAAAGAACATCTGTGTTTTTGTGGACACTGTTGAAGTAATTTCCTTGAACCAGATCGTTTCCACATGTAATCCGTTGAACCAAGTGGGAGCGATTGACTTGCAGTTGCATAGCTTTTGGAGAGGATATATGACGCCCCGCTCTAGTCTTATACAGTCAGACGCCCGGGAAATCTGTGTTGTTTGGTGCTTGCTATTTGTAATGTACGGATAGAGAGGTAGTCCAGGTGTTCGATCACAATCATCGTCGAACAATGACATTTGAGATCCAATTAAGTAATTCCAACTTTTGTTTTATGGAATATCTTGGCATTTTGCATGTTTTGCATATTTATTTTTCTAAAGAATGTTTACCTGTTTATTTGTTTTATTAAATGATTTACTCATTCTTACAAGAGTTTTGTTGAGCTGATTTTCATTCTCATGCTACAATTTTGTATGACAGCTTTCTGTTACAAGAAAGAGAAAAAATATGTCGGAACGTATTTTATGAACATACCGAAGAAAGAATTGTGAGAATGATTGAGTTTCCGGTTGACAATGTCATTTAAATTCGATAGCAAGGTGTTCCACCAGACTGTAGAATTCCCATAGAAACAAACTGTGTCCCTCTTCTGACCGATTTTGTTTTTATACGAGGCTGAATTATATTGGTAAGCTTATCAGGACTTGTAGCAAAAAAAACTCTTCAAGTCTTCTCACATACATATGTATCGACTATGTACCGTCTTAAAGTAGAAAGAAATGAATTGAGCGCATCGAAATCAGGGACACTACAGATTAATTTACTTCAGCCGTTTTCTGCGATCCTAACTTACAACCTGATCTACAGGGACGGGTCAGAATATCATGACTTCCGTGATAAATGTTGACTACTGACTAATAAACTTACAGCACATGGTTTCCAAATACTTTGGACAAGTTTAATGGTTGTCGTCACGATCTCATTGGGAAATATGTTATTTCTTTATGTAATATGAAGGTCGATATTTTTAATTATGCTGATATGAGGACGTGTCATTTCTGTGATTGACCTAGATTAACATGGCGGGTGTCGTCGTTGAAGCAGAAATCGTTTACCCTTCCAGAACACCTGGTCCTATTCTCCTAGCACTTGTTCAATGGTCTCCATGTAAATATTTCATTGTTAATATTTTGCCATATTTTTATCGATTTTAAGTCAGAATCATGTATTTTTACACTACAGTATTCCCTTACTTTTTTTCTCTCTTTAAATATCGGCAACTGTTCTCTTATATCTAACTTCACCGCAGTGCAATGAAGGCGGCAATGCTATATTAATGAAAAAGCATGAAATATAATGGATAAGACAGTTATTTTTTATCATATTCAGGTTCGTATAATGCAAACATTTTTGTTAATATATGAACTACCAGTGAGCTTTTATAATTATGAAATGTATACATCCTTTTCAGTATATATACTACGATAATGCACTTGCTAGTGTGAAGAACTAGAATAATTAGCCGCCCAGTCACTCAGACTATCGCAAATGACGTCACCTGGTTGTCACAGTGATATGAATAGTTCTTGAGGAAAGCTTTGGCTTTTTCTGAAAAAAAATAAAAAAAATCGGCATGTTCATGTGCATCGTTGCCCCGCATCACATATATGCTATACGTTATCTGATTTACTATATTGGATCAATAAGCCCGATTACATAATTATCTGGGCTATCTGTACAGGTTAGCTGATATGAGCAGCAGACATGTTTTCTGCAAGCCACGACAGCGCATGTCGGTGAGCAGCAGTCATGTTTTTTGCAAGCCTTGACAGCACATGTCGGTTAGTAAGTAGGATAGATTATTAAAAAAATACATATGATAAAACCAGTCTTTTGTCGGACACAGGGACATGGCATGGCATGGGAAACATGAAATATTGTCTTTTAAGGAGGCTCCACCCTTTCGCAATTAGCCAGCAGAATTCAATGAAAGTTTCACATGATTGTTATGTGACTATGTCGGGATGATATTATGAAAATCTTAGCATTCCGATAAACTGGGGATTTTTTTGTAAAAAATACCAAAAATTTATTTTTTGTCAAATTCAACACTTTCACATTTTTTGAGCGTGCGGCATTGTTCAAACTATAATAACAATAAAATAATGAAAAGAAACATTGCTAATCAACCCTACAAATATTTTATTTATCATAAAATATCTACAACATGTTACAAAAAGCGTTTTTTATTGAAATTGTATGGATAAAAGTTACTAAATAAAAGCTAAAAACAAACAGGACGCATAGTTTCATACAAAAAAGAGTGAAAAATTGAACCAAATACACAAAAAGTCTTTATAATTAATTTATTTTACACTTTACAATAATTTTGATACTGGTCAGAGTTGTCTACTCTGGAAAAAATCGGAACGTTTTGAAGAGGGATAGAATTTATACAATGACACTTATTTTCTTTACTATACCAAAAACGACAGAAATAAATCAAATTAATATATTTAATCATCAATTTACTGTTCTTTTATGGAACAAAATTACTCTCAATCATGTTCACTTTGGACATCATTCCATAGCCCGCTTACGCATGTTATATTAACATGTCAGGTACATATGTCGTTATTACGTGCACGCACATGCACTTGCATTTTATAGGGATCTTGATATTTTACAAGCCACTATTTTCACAGAGTTATTGTTATTGCGTTTGTGAACCGATTTATCTGACAAAGCGTAACTCGCTTGACAACAAAAGTCGTAGCGACCAAGACATTGTGAACTACTGTTAGCATGTGATACGTACAGGTGAGGTCGGTAAACAAAACACATCAGTCCCCATGCGCCTCATATATACGACCTTCTTGAAGTCGTCTGATCGTATGTCAGTGTTTTCAGTGTTTTCCCTTGAGCTAATTAATGTCTTTGTATCATAAGCTTTATTTCTGATGTACGTGTGATTACACATTTCCAAGTTAATTATCGATATCGGGTGTTGACATATCATTGTCACGCACGTGTATTATTGTTTACCCGGTGTTACTATAATTTACACTACGGTAATGGAATGCCCGATACGCAATACGGAAATGACGACACGAAAATACGTCAAGAAAAACATGTGTATTACCAAGGTTGGGAAGTCCTTAAGATAAAGCGTAGAAGAAATATGTCTATTTTTTGAGGCAAAGTGAATCACACATTATTAAATCTGTTATATTCTTTGGCTGTTTATATGGGTGAGTTTTCTTATAAACAATGAACTACGATGACAACAGTTGTGTTTTCCGTGATTTAAGATAACCATTCTTTACTCTAGTTGCTTACTATGCTCCCATAGATCCTTTTCTCATATCCGCAGCTATTCACAGAGGATATTGCTTCACTAATTTGTTATAATTGGATAACATCGTTGAAAACTCATTTGTATAGAGTTTCCAAAGATACGGATTGATGAAAACTGGGCAAGTATTATGGTCACCATCATACATGTAACCGATTGAGGAATATTTCTTTGTGTGATGTACATGTGTTGCTTATGCTCATTAGTGTGTCTCCTTGTTTTCTTGTCACGGTTCTTCACTTTGAGGACGTGACATCACTTTGATCTTGACTAAACTGACATGGTGAGTGTGGTCGACAAATCAGAGGACGCTTGATGTTTGGGAAGACTTGGGCCGTTTTCGTTTAAACCGGTTGGACCACAGTTGTTTGTTTATTAAATAAGGTCGGACCCAATAATCTAATGCAAATTTTAATGCTAATGCTAATTTTAATGCGATCCTTGACAACGCCTTGCAAGGCGTGCATAAACGTTTGCAGGTCCGCCAGAAGTTAAACCCGAAAATGTTACATTAATAAACGGACAAACCGGTTGTTCCGCATAATCGAACAGGCCCCTTGTCTTCATAGTAATAGCCTTGTCCTGTTTCAAAGGTGTCTGTAAAACTTAGTTTTATCATGTTCGAGTTACGGTTTGGTTGTCACTTCGGTATTCTTTCTTTAATTTTGAAAACAGTTTTGAAGTTTTGAGGTTGAGATAGAAATAAGGTTTGAAATTAATATGCATTTTGTCATAATATGCACTGAATACATAAAAAATTAAGTATTTTTGCGTTTTTATTTGTTAACGATTTCATATCTTGATAAGACTGTACCTTTTTAAGGTGGCCTGTCTTTATAATTCATGAATCATATCATACTGCCGTTTGTACTTTAACCGAGCGACCTGCTGTTTATACGATAGTACGAATACATAATACAGATCGCTATCTGTTGATAACCGCGTTTTCTTATCTCTATTATTTTTCCCTTTTTATTGAACATGAATAATGTCTTTCTTACATGTGAGTTTTGAAGTATTTCCTTTCCTAAACGTTATCTTCCCATGGCGACGGCTTTACCTTACCAATGCCACTACGTGAGTGACTGTCGACCTTTCGGCGATGTCATGATAAACATATCAATATCACAGATAGCGAGAACGGACTATGCATGATAAATATTACATATAACAGACTTGTGAGAACGTCTTTCGCAAGCCAACCCCGGAGGTTGGGGAAAAGAATGTGCATACTATATCTCAACTGCATAGTATCGTAAGAAGCGACTAATGATGAGACCCCTGGAAAGTGTTCTTCTGTGTATTCTGGTTAATGGCAGAAACCAACTATTAAGATTTACGTCTTTTCTTTTATAACTTGCATACTTATTATTTTCGGTAGTGTCCCTCTCGACACCCGGATGTATATGACGTCATCAGTTGGGAGGACATTAACGCCAAACAAAACATAACTGTTGGTTTGATTTTGATTCTAGTAGCCATGTTCACAAACTGGCAATAGTAGGGACGCCTAAAGTATAATCACAAGTGTGCATATGTCCTCACAATGGGTGAAGTACAAGGAATAAGGCTATCCAGGGCGTGTCCAATGAACTGTGACTAGAAGTAATCCTTCGAGCTGGCGTTTCAAGTAATAATTCCTGACGGATATTTTCTTCACAAGAAGACAAAATACAACCCTGAACTCAAAATTAATAGTGTAACAGGAAACGAGGTTATACACATACATCTTAACCTTCATAATCGAATAGGCGATGATACCAGATGTTGTGGGAAAGTAAGCGTTTCCTGTTGTACAGTCATATAAAAATAACAAGTACATATGCATGTGAAGATAGAGTTATGGACTATTTATACAGCTACAATAGCAGATAGCAAGTGATAAACCATTGACACGTATGAACGTATCACTGCATGGCGATAGAGGATGTATGTGTACATTTAGCCAAACATTATCTTGGCTATCTATGATGAGTTTGAAGATCTCCTTACTGTCTGAGGGACTAGTAAATGCTGGGAAAATATGTTTGTAAGGGATTAAATAAGTATTATAATATGTTAATACGGTTATATCAAATATTTTGGAAAAGTATGCATTGATATGAATAGCATTATTAGTATGACAAAAAAATGTAGTAATTACGCTCTTTATCAAAACACATATTGATCTTTGGCCAAATTGTAATGCACTTTGTGATACAAATTATTACAGGGCAATTTCACTGAGTCCAAATTAAGTGTAATCAGTTATTTTAAACTAGGTACACATTTAAAAGAGGGTTCTAACACTGCTCAAAATCGACTAAATAAAAAAAAAAATATATATTGTTTATTATGCAAGACCATTTATCCAAAATCTTTGTATGTATAACACAGACCCCGTTCTCCTTGTAACAGTCATTGTTATTGCTGTCATTATAACAAATATTAAATCCTGTACAATGAAACAGTATTTGAAATAAAATACTTTAAACTTTTGAAACTAGAAGTCTTTAAAGATACAAAACAAAACTATCGCAAATACTTAATACCAAATTTGTTAATCTCAAACCAGAGTAAAGCAAGCAGGCCGACGCTTATATATATATATTAATGACTGTTATATAAACATGTACTCCAGACGGGAAAACGACATACGGACCTGTCTTATCACAAATGAGCATGCTCAGGTTGTTTACTGAGAAAACAAAGTCGGAGTCGGTTATGTTTAGCCAGTTTTTCGTTTAACGACAATTTTATAAAAACATACAAAGATATTTAATCTAAAATTGAAATTCAATGTACATATATTCCAAATTTCTTGTTGTTCAGATGTTTCACAATATGAAAATTTCATTAACATTTCGTTAGGCTAACCATGCTTAGAACCACCCAGCCTTGGACATTATGTAATACAGAGTCTGTCTGCATTAAACAGCACTGTAACGCGGTGGTCCCACTCTAAGGCCAGTTATACGGGACCAGATTTATCTTTTCCTACTCGAGGGTGACAGAGTCATCCATCAGCAATCCATCCTCTTAGGTCAGACGAAATGGGAGTGGTTGAGTAGGACTCCACTGCAGAGAAAGCAAGTCAAGCTGATGATGTAACCATTCAAGGGACAAAATATATCATAGAGTCATCATTCAGGGGACAAAATAGACCATAGAGTCACCATTCAAGGGACAAAATATACCGTAGAAGCAGCATACAAGGACAAAATATATCATAGAAGTAGTATACAAGGACAAAATATACCATAGAGTCAGCATAAAAGGACAAAATATATCATATAATCAACATGCATGGATAAAATATACCATAGAGGCAGTATACAAGGACAAAATATACCATAGAGTCAGCATAAAAGGACAAAATATACCATAGAGTCAGCATACATGGATAAAATATGCCGTCGAGGCAGCATACAAGGACAAAATATACCATAGAAGCAGTATACAAGGACAAAATATACCATAGAGTCAGCATACAAGGACAAAATATACCATAGAGTCAGCATACACGGACAAAATATACCATAGAGTCAGCATACAAAGACATAGTATACCGTAGAGTCAGCTTACACGGACAAACTATTCCAAAGAGGCAGCATACAAGTACAAAATGTACCATAGAGTCAGCATACACGGACATAATATACCATAGAGTCAACATACATGGACAAAATATACCATAGAGTCAGCGTACACGGACAAAATATACCATAGAGTCAGCATACACGGACAAAATATACCATAGAGTCAGCATTCAAAGACATAATATACCATAGAGTCAGTATCCACAGACAAAATATGCAATAGTATAAGCATACAAGGACAAAACATACCATAGAGTCAGCATACAGGGACAAAATATACCATAGAGTCAGCGTACAAGAAACAAAATATGCCATAGTGTCAGCATACAAGGACAAAATGTACCACAGAGTCAGCATACACGGACAAAATATACCAAAGAGTCAGCATACACGGACAAAATATACCATAGAAGCAGTATACACTGACAAAATATACCATAGAGTCAACATACAAGGACAAAATATACCATAGAGTCAGCATAAACGGAAAACATATACCATATAGTCAACATACAAGGACAAAATATACCATAGAGTCAGCATACACGGACAAAATATACCATAGAGTCAGCATACAAGGACATAATATACCATAGAGTCAGCATACACGGAAAAAACATACCATAGAGTCAACATACAAGGACAAAATATACCATAGAGTCAGCATACAAGGGGAAATATACCATAGAGTCAGCGGAGAAAGACAAAATATACCAAAGAGTCAGCATACAAGGACAAAATATTCCATTGAGACAACATACAAGGACAAATTATATCATATAATCAACATGCATGGATAAAATATACTGTAGAGGCAGCATGCAAGGACAACATTTACCACAGATTCAGCATAAAATTACTTAATATATCATATAATCAACATGCATTGATAAAATATACTGTAGAGGCAGCATACTAGGACAAAATTTACCATAGAGTCAGCATAAAAGGACTAAATATATCATATAATCAACATGCATGGATAAAATATACCGAAGAGGCAGCGAACAAAGACAAAATATACCATATAGTCAGCTTACAAGTACAAAATATACCAGAGAGGCAGCATACAAGGACAAAATATACCATAGAGTCAGCGTACAAGGACAAAATATACCATAGAGTCAGCATACAAGGACAAACTATACCATAAAGTCAGCGTACATGGTTAAAATATACCATAGAGGCAGCATACATGGACAAAATATATATCATAACGACAACATACAGGGACAAAATATACCACAGAGGCAGCATACAAGGACAAAATATACCATTGAGGTAGCATATTAGGACCAAACAAACTACCATGTTAAATGTAAGGACAAAATATGCCAAACAATGTAAGCATACAATGACCAATATCCCACAAAATGTCAACATCAAAAAAGCAAAAAATACCACAGCGAAATTTCACAATGACAAAAAATACCATAGAGTCACAACACAAGGACAACATACGGACAAAAAAAGGAAGTAAATATATAATCTTCATTTAATATTGTGTATATTGTCAAGAATAAACATAAGCTCTGTAGAACTTTTATTGCGATGCCGATAAGGGAACAGATGTTGTTTTCATGGTATAGGAAAGCCCAGTGGGGGAAACCATCGTACCATCAGAGGGATAACAACTATCCCTATCTGACATCACTCTCTTTTTCCGCCACCGTTTGGGATCGAACCGGGATTCTTGGGAGAGTGAGAGGACTGAAGCTCACGCGTGATTGCGACAGTAGAAATAACTGTGCGCGTTAGCGATCACGGCTACACCGAGGTACCACTGCGGCAACATGAAAGGACAAAATATACCACAAAATGTCGACACGCAAGAACAAATTTACCGCAACTTTTCACCATACAAGGGCAATATATGCCACAGCTTCGCTTAACGATGATACAATTTAGACAAAACTGGCAATCGAAATGAATCTGAAAAATAAAACAACAATGCAAATATCGTTTTGTTGTACATAGTACTTTTGAAATACTTTTGTGAACAAAAATATCGATTCAAGTGTTGAATGTTATTTTCGATCACCGCCGAGTCGATTTTCGGTCAGTCTACATCACGCGTTAAGTATAAGTACCCCATAAGTCCGCGCATGCCTGAGCATAATTTTTTGAACAAACATCGTTATCCGAGGGCCATATATACGTGTATCACAAGCCTGACAACACCAGTCGACCGACATCTATCCTAGGACAGTCTTCCACCACCATCTACCCCAGGACACTCTACTACCAACATCTACCAGACAACATGCCCTCCCACAAACTTATTTACTTCGGCGTCCGAGCGAGGGGCGAGCTGATTCGCCTTGCCTTTGCAGCTGCTGGTCAAACATGTGAAGAGGATACCATCACGTTTCCAGATTGGCCTGCTCTTAAACCAAGTAAGATATAAATGCTTAAATTATTCCCTCACACCAGTTTACAACCTTTTATATAATACCTTTAAACTAAGTAATCCGATTGATCTATAATGCCCTCAAACTATGTATAGCACTTGTATATGAAATCCATACACCAAGCTCTCAGAACATCAAACTTGGTTGACATTTGTTATTATATAATTATTATGTCTTTAAACAATGTTATCGACTTGTATATAATTCTGCCACACCAAGCTAGTTTGCGGTTTATAATACCCCTACACCAGACAGAAAGCGATATTATAAAATCCTCCCAAACTTTATAAAACAATACTTATAGTGCTTTCAAACCTGGTAAAGAAATGGCACATCTTGCTTTCAAACCAAGCAAGTCAAACATTGTTTCAGGTTTTCCAAGTCAATTGGATATAATCATATTTTGGTATTTCAAACACATAATAGTTATGTGCAAAGGAATTTTGCTACGCATTTGTTTTGCAATAAGTATGGGAATAACATGGAACGGTGGAAGATTTCTCAACAGGTACATTATGTAACAGTATATTGATCTACGACTAGTGTTACTTATTAAACAAACAAAGTTGACCCCTGTTATGGTCAGTGTTTGCTGACAGACTTACCACAGGATCAGACAGGCTTTCGCATTTCGTACACTTTCTGAAGTCATGTGGAAATATTAAGAATAACTTAAGAATAACTTATGTTTCAACGTTATAAATGAATACACTAGAAAATTAAATCTTTGAAAAACAATACTAAGAGTATTTTGATTTTAATATCCTCTTAAATCCGTGTATGGCTGTGTATGTCCCCACGGCCAGGAATATATAGCTGGTCTAACGTCTACCCTGCGCACTGTCCAACGAATGACCTGACACGGATCGGCTTTGTAAAAGCCACGTTCTATATACTGACTTAGCGGTCTGTGTATCAATGGCCGTTAGCTATTAACACGACGTAAGCCCTTAACATAATAAAATCCAAACCTTTTTTGAGGAGTGAATGTTAAGAGTTTAGAGAGACGTATTGATCAAATGATCTACCGGTGATGATGATGGCTTTTTGAAAATCAAATTGCATTTATCTTCTTTTTTTGCAACTTATCAAAACAGGTGTTGGCGTACGACACGTGGAGTGACATTTGTGACAAACTACTCAGAGTCTCTTTTCATTAAACACTAACATTACTTTACAGTTTCGGTCGTTTGTAGAGTTCGTGTTGTATCGTTCTCTCGTTATCGGTTCTGATGTCAAATCGTCTCCTTATATGTTGACAATACAAAAGAATTAACTTTACTTAATTCGCAGACATTTGCTTGACTTGAATGTATAAACGGTAGGTTGGCGTGTGTCCAGCCCCGGTTATCGCGGATAGATGCAGTACAAAGTCACACATTTACCCTGGACATTAAGTAGTACGTTGTGAACTTAGGGTTTCATTGACTTATACCCTATATAATACCATATTCCAAGAATACCATACATACTGGATTGTTTTCATACCAATATGGCATAATTAAAACAATAAACACCAAGTAATGTATCATGTTTAACGTGAAACATGCATATTGCTACAATTCTGTGTCATATCAATCGATATTGCATAGCAACTAGTCCCTTTATCGACCAAACTTGCATGTGTATAGTTACATATTCATTAGGAGAAAGGTTATAATAAGTAGTCAAAATCTGTGAACAGAAAAATAAAGCCATTCATACTGTAGCATCATAGATGCGGTGTATTATGAAAAGTACCTATCATGATTACTCTGCGAACTTTTTTACGATAGCCACATGATGAAACCTATGTAGGTGTTGTCTCCCCTGTCACACTAAGTTTGTGGTATAAAGATATGTAAATTAACAATAAAGATACCGGAGGTTAAAATTTACGACAAATGCTTTAGATATAGGTTCAGTTAGCGGTCAGATATAATTTTCCGACATAGCGACTCCAGTGCAACTCATTCCAAGATCATTTAATACCTATTGTTAGAGAAGAAAATATTCCAAGGTTACCAAGTTACTACAGTTTGGTCTCTCGACATGTAGAATGAGGTAATACTCGAACGGGAGGGGTGTCACTTGTTATGGAGAGTTATGTCCATCGCATCATCGATATCCAGGGGTTACGCCCACCTACGCTGAGCGTAACTCCTGGATATCGAGGATATGTCCACCGAGATAAGCTGGCATGCTCCTTCCATAATTCACGTTCCCTATATATTTCTTCAAGTTCATTTTTGACAAACAGTCACTTTACTGCCAACCTACATACATAGTTTGGACTTTGGACTTGGATTAATAAGAAAATTATTAATTGTCTGCCAAAATAAAATATAAATTGTATTGCCTAAGATCGTTGTTCGTTATTGACCATATTCTTTTAACTTTCTTGTATCTGATAGACATGATGCCACATATTTTGCTGGTATATTTATTAAATCATTCCATAGCTCTTCGTTCGTGGGGTTTTGCCTGGTGTATGTGTGTCTCTTACGGTCTTGTTGTGTTATCTTCGTATGGACAAGACTGTCCAGTTTTGAAGTGATGTCCTTGTGTTTTGTTACTTTGGCAGAATTATGTTCTGTTTAATATTTTTTTCTGTCAATATATGCATTTGTTTAAATCGTTTAATTTCGTATATGTTCTTATACACCCCATATGTGTATATATTTCAATTTTTAACCTTTCCGGACACACTTTTGATTTTTTTTTGTCCCCCTATTCATTATACACCCACAAGAAAAGTATAATGATCATGTTATGATGAAAATATATTAAGTGAGTTTCATCGAATTAACATTTACTAACTCGCTGTATTTGTCATAATATCGAATGGAAACGCACTCAATGTCATATATTCACTAAGAAAAAAGAACAGACACATAGTGGAGGTTTTACTTTTTAACTACTTTTTAGAAAGGTTTCTGAAGGTAATCTAGGGACATGATATTTCGGTCGTTTATAGGTTTGTTTAATGTTTGTTCTTGCATTAGTTTTCCATTTAAGTGATTTATTAAAATATTCTACATGATCAATTATAACACAATGTTTCTTGTTTTTCCTTTTAGAGATGCCCACTGGTCAACTGCCGGTGCTGGAGGTGGACGGAAAGCAGCTGTCACAGAGTATGGCCATAGCCCGCTACGTCGGCAGGGAGTTCGGTAAGGCTCAACCTGTATGTTGTATGACCATATTTGCTTACATCACTTTACCATTCCAAAGTATATAAAGCTTAAGTTTAAAACCAGTATCTGAAATATTAACTACAGTTGTAAAACGTTATGTAAATATTTATAGTGTGTTATCGATGATATTTTATAGTAGGTATGGTAGACTGTTTTATCTATGATATTGTTGTACAGGTGGTGTGGTAGAATGAATTCTTTATCATATTTTGCATGTATGGGTTATATTGTTCTGTGATATTTTACAGGTTTGGCAGGTAAGAACAATCTGGAGCAATGTATGGTCGACCAGGTCATAGACACGGCTTCAGATTGCCTCACGGAGTACGTCAAGTCGCACTTTGAAAAGGATGAGAAAAAGAAGGTAAGTGGAATTCATTACAGTATCTCTAGAATATGGCTCCAATACAATTTGTATAACATCTGGACACTCTACGTTTATTATAAACAACTAAGTATATCAAGTCATAATTAATACGTGTATTTGTTGTATAAAACTATGATTGTGATACATGAAGAAGTTGTCATCATTGTCAATATTTCTTTCTTTTTCTACAACTTTATAGGTTTTAAATAAGTGCTTCCTTATTTCTGGTTATCCCATTTTTTTCAATGATTTTTCAATTCGCGAGAACAGTGGATCGTGAATTTCAGTTTTAATTGTTGTTTTCGAAAAATGCATCCAGGCAAGTTTTGTCGTTGATTTTATCAATTCAAATATGTATTTGCAATTCGCCATTTAAAACATTATCTTAAATTTAAGTGATCGAAAAAAATATCTTTAATACTTTCCCTTCAATTTTCTTAATATTTAACCTTACATTGTGTTTATCAGACGGAAATAAGAAAGACTTTGGTGGATGAAACTATTCCTAAGTTTGCCAGAATATTCACAACTTTCTTAGAAAACAGCGGAGGCAAAAACGGATTTTTCGTTGGATCTGAAGTAAGTTTAGACATATAGTTTTAAATACTTGATATCGTTTTAAATGCCAATATTAATTATCACACACTTAAAAAGGTCATTTCTCTTATTTCTTTCCGTACATCCCGGTTACATCTAAAGGGATACGATGCCACACGCAGCTACTCGTCTAAATAAACATTAATAGTCGCTGTTAGCTCCCTTTAACGTGCATTGGTCGTTGCTGATGTGTATAACTATGGTTAAGGTTATCCAAAACTCGTCACTAAATTCTAAAGAAGAATGTTGCACAATATAGTATAGATATAAAATGCAAACTTGAATATATACTAGTATCATCTACATACGTCCATATAGGCGGATAAAGGGTACATAGAGTTGATGAAAAAAGAGTCTGTTGACGCTGGGTAGGATACTATGTAGAGGATGATTTGACCGTGGCTATGTATTTGTGTTGAGGCAGTGGATTTTGTGTTTAGGTTATTTATAGCGTGTAAACTTTGTGTAAATATAATGTTGATAGGATATACTTTGTCTTGACGTATATTTAACTCTGTGTTGACAGTTCTTTATAATTTTCGTTGAAGTGTGCTCATCTTTATTTTATCACATTAAATGATGTCACTTAATGAAATGTCACTAATTGATAATCGTTTTGTCCTGTTTCACATTTTAGCTGACGTTAGCAGACCTGGCGTGCCATGAGGTATTTACAGACTTTCTCCTGCTGAATGCAGATGCTTTGAAAGACTTTCCTAAATTGGCAGCCAACCGCCAGAAGGTTGAGGATAACGAAAACGTGAAGCGGTACCTGGCAAAACGTCCAGAGAACCCGATCTAAGACACATATCAGTTCACGCATAATGGCAGCATTGTCTTTGTTATTTAAAACTAAATAAAACTTTATACAAACACGTTTGTTTAGTATTGTCTATATGAAGGCGCAGTCCCGCACATAAACTGACTCAATTATTCACCAGTTTAAGAGACGGGACTTTTTTTATTGTTAAAGATGAATCAAATCAATACTGATTAAACGAATCTAACTTCACAGCGGTTCGTGCCTTGAATATTTACATTTCAGTTGCATGTCTACTGTAGGTATCCAAATAGGATTTACGTGCATTACAAATGTTTCCTTTTATATAACTGTTATCGAATTAATATCGGTGTTAAATTTGCAAAACAAGTCACATCTTATAAAGAAACCTTTTTGTTGAAATCAGTGTGAAAGCAACAAAATACAATGTAGTTCACATCATACAATTCAATTCTTCTGTTGATAAAAGTGTCAAAAGAACTATAATTAAAATAATATTTCAAACGATATTAAAGGTCACCTTTTATTTCTAAAATTTTCCATTGATATCAACTTAAAAAAAAATCTCCTTTACGTCATTTATTTTATTGATATCAATGTTAAAGCAATAAATGCCATTTGTTATACAGTTTTATTTATATCAGCAAAAATAGTAACATACGTCACCTACTAAATTACAAACAGCAACAGCTGTCACCTCCAATGATCCTCTTGGTATTAGTGTTACGACACTGACAAAAGCCCTAAAACACAATTATTCTGTTGATATCAAGTCGCCTCTTTTCTTACAATTATCGTATATATATATCAGTTTTGTTAATTCACACCCAATAAAAAGGTCATGATATCGACACCAGTATCAAGAGAACAACTACATGTACATATGTATACTACTGTCATTATAAAACAGTGATATGTTACACCAAAAATAAACAGTTAAGTTTGCATCATGTTGTCAGACCCAGTACGTCAACTGTATACTAATATTATGCTCTGAAGCTAAGGCAGACACAGTGCACTATATATGCACAAGTAAGATAATTGTATCATAATCTCAGAAAAGGTGAATAAATGATAAACCATATTCTTTGACTTACCAAATTCTTATAAGCGAACTTTGGCTATGCTTACTTAAATAAAATGGTCGATTTGTGTAATACTGGACGAACAAGGAAATAAGAACAAGGAAGTAAAGTGTATACAAATTTCTCAAAACAGGTCATACAATGGTGTACCTTTACTCATAATATCAATGTGAATTATCGATCTTTTTTTTTTTTTAACAGTTCATTAAACATAACACATCATATTTCAGTCTCACATTCTTAATTTTCACACAAGTTTTTGTTTGTCTTGACATTTTTTCAACATTACATCAATTTAGATACCAATGCAGAAAAACAATCATTTTTCTCTATTAACCATTACATCAATTTAGATACCAATGCAGAAAAACAATTATTTTTCTCTATAAGTTTGAAACAAGATACATAGAACAATATTATATGCATTGTAGTTGAGAAGCAAACAAATACAAAAAAAAAAAAAAAACAGAAAAAAAACAGTTTGACTATTTTCACATGCTGAGACCAGGATATTAGGTTTTATGTACCATTGTACTGTTTTAGAAGAAGATATAGGAAAGAAAAGAGTAATAAAGAGAGTGAGGAACAAGAAAGAAAAGGAGGAAGGTTGGAGAGGTGTCGAAGGATTTGACAAGGGCTTGTTGTTCGATTTTGTGTAATTTTTTGTACATAGACTACTTTTAACAGGAAACCGAGAATATATAAGTAGTTAGAATATCATGCATATGGCCAAATACCTTATAGGTCAAAATATTGATGTCCTCATATAAAATGAATGCAAAACAAAATGTCTGTTCAAAAATCAACACAACAAAAGAAACCGAAAATATCAAAAAAAATATAGAAAGGAAAGGCATCACAGACGCCTACAAAAACACAGATGAGAAAACATGTGGGTCGGAAGGGTAAGCGTTTCCCGGGTTACGACTGTCCATTTCCATAATGCGTCTGATTCATACTTATGTTGACGAGATTATAATTTCTTAAACGTGGAGATACGAAACTGTGCATATATGTAAGTAGTTTAATGGTGACCAGAACATAGAAATACCATTAAGCTTCTGAGAAGAGATTTGGGCCAAGTTGAGGGAAAAGGGGTTTGCTATATTGTAAAAAAATAAATAAAAAAAATAGAATAAAAAATACAACAATACAGTGTGATGAATTTTGTCCGATCGCAGATATTGACTTTTGTTTCCCGACTTTTCCATAGAGATACCACGAGAACTGATATTCTTCGAGCTGCCTGTTAAGACGTGTTAAATGATAGGGCGATAACATTTAGAGACGATTATGCAATACAGGTATAGGATATATTTTGGAGAAGGACACTATAGATGATATATGTTACCATTAGGGTAAGGATACACGATATACTTCGAGAAGTGTGAGGGGAAATTATTCACGTAAAAAGTATTCACTTCCAGAGTGAACTGAGTAAGAAATGATGATAGCAGTAAACTGTAGTATGTTTTAATTTATCCAGTTGTTAAACCCTACTAATGATTAAGAGATCACTGTATAACGAAAAATACAATATTACTTGTTACAAAACGTAGTCTGTAACACTTGAGATTTTTATTTGTATTGATTGTGTTGTGTTGTATTTATGTTTGAACGGTTGACGTTGTTACTGGTCGGCGTCAAACCGAGGGGGAAAAATCATAGGTAATAAATACCAAAGATAATAAAACCAAGTGTTATATCAATGAAAGGCAGTTAAGTCTGAAGGTAATAAACAACTTGACATTATCTATAATGGTTCGACTTTCTTGAAATTAACGTGAAGTAAACCAGGGTCGTCAGCACAAAAATGTCAACAGTTCTTATTTAAATATCCACATAAAATATTGCTTTTTAACAATGTTTACTCTCCTTTTAATGTGAAGTTATGACTGCTTCATACATATCTGATACAGTTTACTTGAAGGGAGTTATATGAATATTTTCATAATTAACTCTCTTGTATTCATTAAAAGTACAACAAACCATCGTCTGCTTCTGCAAGTGAATTTGAGTGGAATCTAATTAAAATGTATATACATCACGATAATCACGATAGTTATTCCTATTTCGTGACACGACATTACGAATTTCAATTTGTTCTCAAAATGTTTGCGCATGCGCAAATGATTATTCCAATGTATCCTCCAGATCGAAAGTCATTCACAGTCACTGAAGAGGTCGAAAACGTATGTTTGTTAACTACATATCTGATATTGTTCAAATGGTTGATCCTGTTTTCTACATTTTCAAAAATGTCGCTTTTAAACACCTTACGATCAGATCTCGATTATACTCACCATGTTGTTGGTCCCTAACTTCAATAGCACTGTATAATATTGACCATTGTATATAACGGATATCGCAATAAAATCAGTTTATGGAGAAAAGATATATTTCAGTGGTAAACACACATTGTCAATTAATACATATTCTTGTTAAATTTGTATGAACCGACACAGGCCAATGAGAACTTAAAGAATTGTTTAAGACTGGTTTTATGTGCATTGTAAACTTAGCTCTTAAGTCAAGTATAGGGACGTTTGTTAGCAAATTAAGACTTGCATATTAAGATATCAAGCTAAATGTAAGTAAGGCAATTCAAATTAAGAACAAATATCTAAATATCCTATGGAATGGTGACGTCATGAACATTCGAAGTAAGATGGACTTTCATTGACCTTCCGTGTGTTCATTTGACGTCATTAACAATTGCCACCAAGGCCCCATATGCATATTAGTAGATTGCAAGCATGATATAGTGTGTTTGCCGTTGCAAATATTTCATTTGACCCAGCAACTTCCGTGTTACATCTCAAATGGATTGGAATGCCATGAGGCCAAGTAAGACAATGTTCAGTATTACATGAACTAAGTAAGACACTATCCCTCATGTCATATGACATAGTAAGACAATGCTAACTTTGATGTCGAGTCAAGTAAACAGTACAAATATATTGCTCATAGATATATATGCATTGTTTAATCCAAAACTAGAACTATGAATGAATAAATCAAAACATATGGATATATTAGTAAATAAATCATTTGTAATAACAGAAATGCCAACTGGTCTGCTGCCGCTGCTGGAGGTGGGCGGAAAACAGCTGTCAAAGAGTCTGGCCATAGCCCGCTACCTGGCCAGGGAGTTTGGTAAGATATGGACACACCCATTATATTTCAATACGACATACGTTTTTCTGTAATACCGTATAGTAGGATAATGTCGCGGGGAAGATATTTTCGCGATTTCGCGATTTCGCGATTTGATAACGTGATCACGAAATTATAATCCGCTGAATAATAAGACAAGCATAAAAAACCCACAATAATTAGCTTCATAACCGTTATGTCGTCATTAAATCGCTAGTATGTGGCAGTAACAATCCATTTACAGCTAGAGTAGTACAAGCTGTTAGATAATATATTACATCACACATATAAAAGTTTTGTTGATGACTTGTTTAACTATACACACTGGTTTTTGGATATCAAAGATAAAGCGTATTTTTTGACTATTTGACACTTTTAGTGTTCCATCTATGTTCTAAGTCTATGTTCTATGTCTACATCGCAAAATATTTTTTTTGGTCAAAATCGCAAAGATTTAAACATTATACTAATAATTATAGTGATACATAGGCGATTATCAGCATGATAAGCCATAAGCTGATATATTTGCTGTATATAAACGATAGATTTTTATTTTGTTGCTTCCCAATGACATCCAGTTTGTGAGCCAATGCTTGCGTGCTTAATATCAGTTGCATTTACTCGTAGGTTAACACGCAAAGTACCTTGTGAAAGTAAATCTGGGATATGATAAAGGGCATAGTTATTTGGCATGAAACATCCCATATTCGTTCACATGTTACATTGAATTAATTTCATTAACAAAATTGATTATAAAGATTAACCATGATCTGTCGTTGTAGCCGAGGTAATGAACTCTTAGCTGCATTTCTGTTGAAAAATCAAATAAATAATTCAATCTACAATTAAAATGTAAATTGTATAGTGTAAAATGGAAATTGCTTTTAATTTATCTCCTTTGTGATAACATTAGAAAACTTAGAGTATTGTAAATTTAACTAATAAGGTAGCACATCAGTTGTTTCAAGATCTTTTTGGGAAAAGTTAAAAATATTGTCTTTTGTCCTGTGGAAAACTGAAAACTGCCCTTAAACAGAACAGAGATCAATTACATTAGTAAAAAAGTTACATAAGATGCCATATTCAATGATGGGCATGACTTCTTTTAACAGTGCAAATGTGATAAAAGTAAGTTATAAGTATTTTTAACATATCTATCCCCATTTTTTAGGTCTGGCAGGCTGAAGCAGTACCTAGCAAACCGCCCAGAGAGCATCATCTAGAGTTTACGAGTTGATTTCTTGTTGGAAACTTGCAAGTGTTATTGAAAACTTGAATAAATAATTATACGTACACATTTATTGGACACTTTTATATTGTAAAAGAAAAATAATAAGAAAAACCGGTTCCAACACACATGGACATCATACATATGTGTAACTCAAATCATCGAGGCTAAAGAGCCAGCATAGCCGAGCAGTTATGTGTACAAACAATGGCGTCACAGTTATTAACTCAAAACAAACGCCAGGTGTCCGAACATGGCATCACCTTCATTAACCCTACACAAAAAACAGGTGTACAAACAATGACATCAAGGTCATGAACCCAATATACAACGGTACCACTGTCATTATCCCAAACACAAAAACTTGTACAAAGAATAGTATTACCATCTTTATGAATACCACAAAAAAACAGGCGTACAGACAACGTGACCAACTTCATGAACCCTACACAAAAAACAGACCTACAAAGATTAGTTCCACTATCGTTATGAATCCCCTGCAAACAACAGGTGTTCAGGCATCGGTACCTTGTTTTTGAACCCTAAACCAACAGCAGGTGTACAAAGAATTGTACCCCTATGAACCCTGCAAAAACAGCATGCAACCCCCCCCCCCCCCCCCCCCC